TTTTTTTTTTTTTTTTTTTTTTTTTTTTTTTTTTTTTTTTTTTTTTTTTTTTTTGTAGAACGCCAGGTATTAGCGCTTGATTTTACAACAATAGTTGTATTGCTTTATGGGAGCAAAAATCTACATCGTCCTTTCAACACTTCTTTACGTACAAACAATTTACTTATACCGGTATGCACTTTTCGTATAAAGGGATATGTCTACATGTATTGAAGAGTGATAGAACAGAGAACACATAGTTGATTAGTTGTTTATTGGTAATAACATTATTACACACTCAACGCGCATATAGTTTGATTTGCATTAGTCCTCACTTTTTAGAATTAAAAAAATTTACTTATAGTGGATATATCGCGCATATTACGTATATAAATATATTGTAAGCTTAGAAAGTAAGTAAGTGTTTCATGTATCCCTAAGGAAATGCATTAATAAATATCTATAATTATAAACACATTATTGAAGATATGGCAAGAGGGCTGCAATTGGCATTGCGCGAAATTTTTTTTTCTTTTTCTTTGCAAGGATGTATGGAACGTATACAATAATTCACTGTGAATATTGAAAATCTGTAACTCACATTACATATGCTAGAGACTTTCAGTACTTGCGTTGAATAACTCAGCCATAGATGGCATATTTTTTTGTTTCCGGCTGTCGCTCTTGATATTAATAGAATGCACACACATCTTAAAAGCTTTTCTCTCCAAATGTAATCCTCTTGTCGAGTTCGTAATTATAAGTTGTAATTATCATAACGATTATAATAGATATATACTAACCAAATGATGTAATGATATAACAAAATACATTTTCTAATGGATGTAACAAACTCTTGTATCTCTTGTATCGTCTTTATAATGTATACTGAGTGGGACGCAGGAAATGTACTATTTTATTATCCAATTTATGGGCTTTGAGGAAGAATTTTTTGTGTGCCAATTTTATTAAAAAATTGATATATCGGATCAATGAAATGCGGCAATATTCGTGTGGCATCCCATGTATGTACATACACGTGTTTGTGTATTTGTATATATTGCGTATTTGATTTTGTGATACAACATGGGTATTAATATAGATACATATCACACTATGTCTGTGTTTGTTATGAGAGAGAGAGAATGTGTGTGTGCGCGCGCGCTAAACACTCGCGCGCGCCTGTGCAAGCATTTGCACGTTGCACGCCGCTATCGATTCGCGCGAACCGACGACCGACGCGACGATGCGTATGGCGCGCGACGTTTCATATGCATCGCGTCCCACACGATGCGCAAAAATCTGACACGAGCGTGCTTACTATCTCTCTCTCTCGCTCGCTCGCTCGGTTATAGATCGGACATCGATCTCACGATTTCGCGGATCGATCCGCGGCGCGAATCGAAAATAATTTTGTCCTACGTCATGGTCGACAGCCTCGCCATACATATTACCTACATTATCACACGATACAGCCGTCTTTTTTCTGTGTAAAACAGTAGCGTCGCATCGTCGCTTTTCGATAACACGTCACGCATCCTCGTTCGCCGTACCTGTCAGTCTCGCGCTTTTTTCCATTTCCTATTCCCTCCCCCCCCGCCGCGATCTGTGGATAGCTCGACCCCGGGGATCAGCCGAGCCGAGTGGAGCGGATGATACGACGCGACGAGAAAATTTACGCTTGGTGTAATTAAGCTGTGAGTACTATGAGTATGCATATATCCATCTTCCCCATACTCGAGAGGGCATGAACATGGAATATGGGACTATTTCACGCGAATCTATATTCTATATCGGGAGGACGCGGAGTAAAGCGAACAAACTCGATTTTTTCCTCGGTTTCTCTATGCGCAAAGTTCTCGAACAATCGAAAGAATGAGAGAAATGGAGTCTACGTCACACTACGCATTGGAGATAATGGAGATTGAGGAATTGGAGATTAGATTTCGATTAGTCGGATAGTTTTAATTCTAATCTGTTTCGTTCTGATTGATTGGATTTCGAATTCAATTCTCACTCTCGAGTGCAATGCGAGGCTTGACTAATAACGAGCGTCAAGCGGAGACAAAGCTCTTTGCTCTTCCCTCTCCCCTCTCTCTTTTCCGCCACGGTCGACTATATACAAATGTAATAGATTTGTTCTTTTTAGACCCTTCCATATCGAAGAAAGAGAGAGAGAGAGAGATAAACGCTGTAAAAGTTTGCAAGCCTATTATCGTCGGACGTCGATGTTCCCTTCCCCTTTGTCGTGTGAATCGTATACGTGTTACTCAAGTAGCGTTGTCCGAATAAAAGCGCGTATGCATATAACGCGGTCACGTGAGCTCGCGTTACGCGCGAGCGTGAAGCAGCTACGTCCATTTCTTAAGCCCATTTTACAATGGTAGTAAGCAGTAGAAAGTTCTTGCGCGCCTTATCTTATAATAAGCTTGGATTGGCTGGCAGTAAAGTAATAAGGCGTACGAAATGGGAACCCATTTCGCTTACTCTCTTAATGTTTTACGCCATATTTACTCCCTCTTACGGTCTTACTACTCATTGTGAGAATGGGCTTTAATTGGCGCGCGCGGCGGCGGGATGCGTAAACGCGTAAATACGCGCATAAACACGCGGCTGACACTTGACTCGTCGCGAGTTAGGCCTGGCTATACCGCTCAACGTTATTGATCTCGCTCGCGTCGCGTCGGGAAATCGGCTGCCCGCTCTCTCTCGCTTACAAGTTACATCCCTGAAAACTCATTAGATTTCCATCGATCGATCCAATTCTCCCCTCACCTCGCCTCGCTTCGGTTTAACCTGCTTAACCCCTTCGCCGCAAAACGACCGAGCCAAGCAGGCTGCTTAACTCTTTTGCCGCGAAACGACCGAGCCAAGCAAGTTCAGCTCCTGTCTCCTATGTCTCCATACGCAACATTGTCCGCGTTCTTCCTTGCGGCGCGGTTCGTGGAATCATCGGTGTGGAACGGAGGATGGGACGGCGACCCGTGATAGTGCCACTTGACACGGGGGGGGGAGAAGAGAGAGAGAGAGAGAGAACACAGTACGTACGTAGCATACATATCTACCAGCTACCCACGATTTCGAGCCGTGAGCGATTGACAGGGCACTCGCCGCTGCACTCGATGCACTGGCGACCAATAAGGTGCGCCGGCCGGCCAACAGCCTCCTGTCGGATTGGCCGCCGGCACCGCGGGCTCCTACGTGCCTCTCGCGCGATTTAATTTCCCGCGGTAGGTAGTGGCGGGGAGTAGACAAGTAAGGCGAGGGGCGGTAGGGAAGAGTGGCCTGAGTGGCGCGAGAGAGCCAGCCGTGGATTCGAGAATCGAGACTGTCGAGAGTCAGAGAGCGTCAGCGTCAGCGTCCACTGCCATCCCATCCCATTAGAGTTCAGACTGTTCAAAGTGTGCGAGGAAACGAATAGTATATCTAGTTCGCTTCTCTTCGCGTTCCCGCTAGTGCCCGATAACTCGTCTCAGGTAGGTCAAGCGTAAACCCATTCTCTCCCCTCATCCCGATCATTTTTACGCGTGCGGGAACGGAAAAATGTACGTGTAATCGCGTGGAGATTTCGTGAAAAGTGTTTCCCCTCCGGATTTCCACCGCCGTACGCCACCATTTTGCGATGGACATGATGTGATTATGGGAACGCACCGCGATTGAAACCACGTCGTTCTGGTTTTTAGCCCCGCGCGTAATGTCGCTGGCACGAAACGAGTCGATTTTTCCGCGAGAACGTCGTCGTCGTCGTAGTAATCGTAGAATCACTCGGGGACGACGCTGCTCTTCGCTGCCGCGAATTCCTTAATCTCCTTAGCTGACAACGCGTGGTTTTTTTTCCCCCCTCCCATTCCTTTCCTGCCCCCACCGCCATCCTCACCCGCGCTGTCGCTGTCAGACAAACGAAAGTTGGTACATTGCGCAACGCATGGAGTTTGCTCGGCTTGGTGTGCGTACAACCGTATCCAAATCGTACATGCGCGCACACCTCCTCCTCCCACCATAATTGCACTACCGTGCATTTTTCCTGTTCTCTTGGATCTTAGCTTACCCGCCGCTCTAAGCCAGTGGCTGCGTTTAGCAGAAAAAATTAATCAGCGCTTAGTGATTTTTTAATATGATTAGCTTTTGCCTTTAATTCTTCGTTGGATCTAAGTGTCTTAACAATCAATCATATTAAAGATCACTAAGCGCTGATTAGTTTTCTCTGTTGAACGCAGCCAGTTGTTAGATGGGCTGAGTTTCAGACTTTAATCAACTTAGAGTTGAAAATGTTGAAAATTTTAGTATACATATATATAAATGTATATAATATATTTTTATATACGTGTACATATGTGAAGTATGTAAAATATATTAAAATTGCAATATTTTTGAAAAAATTTTACATAGGCAATTAATGATCTATTTATTAGTGGTACGTTACTGAAGCTACATTGGACGCGCATGCGTGTGAAACCAGCTCGTTTAACAACACTAAGCATTACTCGGCACTACCGATTAGGAATTGACGAATGTCAATTGACTACGTTTAGGCCGCAAAAAAAGTCTTTATTAATATAAAATTATTATAAAATTCCTTGATACGTCATAAGACGTATTGTCTTTTGTTTCTCTTCACTGGATTTAAATCAATTAAATTAAACAACTTGACAATAGTTGCAAAGCTAAGCTTTTGCTGCTGAATGCGGCCAATCGCTACAGCCCATTTCCAATTCCATGGCAAATAATAACAAATCGAGTCTAAATAATAACGAAAGGATAAATACGCGAGCTTTTTCTTTCTCCTATTGGAAATCTACAAGAAATTTCTAGAAATTTCTTAATGTTTCACGGAATAGTAAGTTTTTTTTATTGTTACACTGGATTACGTTAGAATTTTCTTTTTTGCTTCCATCAACTATCAGGTATATTACTTGTCTCACTTTAGCAGCGTCTACAATGAGATTTTAAAATGTAAAACTTCAGGATCGATGGTGAAATTTCTTTTATTACTGAATGACGACTAAAAATGTTGAAACAATTGCGATATTCATAATTAAGAGAATTACTTGCATCTTGCTAAAGAGCGACTTTTTGAGGGAAAGAAAATGCAAAATAGAAATTCGTTTTAATCTAGATCTCATATCTGCATCATCAGTAAATAATATATAAACAGATTATGGGTCGATCTCATAATCTCCTATCAACTCGCCCGATTGCTACAATGAGGAACTGACCAATCGCATTTACTGTTCAATAGAATTGACTAATCACGGTTGATACTTAATCGATCGAATGACACTTAATTGAAAATTTCAGCTCTTTGGCGGGCTTCATAGTTCGTAAAATACTAAGTCAAAACAAGTTCCATGAATGAAATATTTCTTTTATAAAACAATATATAGTCTGTTCTTTTTTGTTCAACTTCTTTGCACGCGATTCATCTTTTCTCTTTTTTTCTCTAGAGAAACTGAGATAAAAGAAAGCTTTAAACTGTATTTCAATGAAAGCAATATTCGGAATAGGAATAAATATTAAGATTTTAATCTATCAGAATGTAACTTGGTTTCTAATAAGAGATGAAATCTTACTACTTATTCCTGTTCCTAATATTTTTTTTCAGCCCGTAAGACTTAAATCGATATTCATAATTAATTTTTATATTTAAAACTCTTGAATATAGTCTTAAGATGTGAACTAATTATTAATTCGTACTAGTATCTTAAGACATTAAATGTATCCAGAAGCACGACTGCTCGTAAGTGCTCATAGTACTGAATGCAGCCATTGCTGAAGACTGAAATATGAACCTTAAAATAAGAATGTATTATGAATATCACCCTTAAAGTTTTATCAATTTTACGAGCGGTATTTATAGTCTCATTTTATTTTATCATCATCTTATAAGTAATGTCTTAAAATACTAATACGGCTCGCTTATTAATTAAGGCTCCTGAGTAATTACTTCAGCCATATTGAATCCTGACGTCATAAGCGAGAAATAACATGTTGATTTTTCTTACATTATATCATTTATAAATAAAAAGAATTTGGATAAAACGAAAAAAGATCGCTTTAAAATATTTGTAAAAATGGACCAAGACTCTCCTTATCTCCCCTGATAGTCGCTAAAGAGTCGAAAAAGACTCGTGAAATAAAAATAGGCTACGCTTGCGCATTGAGTAAAAACTAGTAAACGCACTTTACGTGCCTTTTACGATTATTTACAGTATTTACTGATTATCAAGAGAGATAAGGATAGTTTTCGTCCACTTTTACAAGTGTTTTAAAGTGATCTTGTTATTTCATTTCATTCGAATCCTTTTTATTTACAAATGGCATGGAAGAAAAATCAACGTATTTGACACTCGCTTATGACACATTTTTCTTATGACGTCACGATTCAATATAACTGGAATGCCTTAATAGGTAGTGTTTGCAATAATGCTAAAATCACGTTAACCTTTTCATAATTGTTAAAAAGAAGATAACCTGACTTTAGCGTTTTGAATATTACGTCGCTATTCAGTCTATTCTTATATTTAATACTGTCTCAAGTACAGTACTTAAGGAGATTGTAAGGACATAAAATACATATATTTATATTTATGCTTTAAACAAACTACTTGTGAAAGTTGTGTTTATAATTCTGTTTTTATTGAGCAACACATTTTTATAGATTATTTGTTTTATTTGATATTATTATTATAAACAAAAATTTAAATTTTTTGTATAAATATTTCAAGTACTAAAAATGACTTGTGCAAAGTTTCGTAGAGCTTCACCAATTAGAGTATATAACAAATAAATATTTTTGAATTCATAAAGTTGTATTTAAAAAATTGAGATTTTTATCATTATTTTTACAATACATTTTCATATATTTTTATTAGAATACAAATTTTAAAAAATATTACTTTTTATTGAAATAACTTTTAATCCCAGTGTTCAACTGTCGTCTCTAATTTTTTTTGTATTACTTTTAAATATAATTTAGAATAATCTGTAATTTTTTTCAAGTAATTCTTAACATATTGCATTTGCCTTACAATCTCCTTAAGGTATCACGAATCAATCAAAGAGCCGCATAAATATTAACATCTTAAAAGCTAATATTACATCCATTTTTGTCATACAACAAATATAATATCAGCCTAAGACCTTCTTGAAATAAGAACGGATTTAAAATCTCTTTGTAATAGATGCCACTTTAAGTACAAAGAGCGTACCACCTATTCTTTTTAACTAAACTTTTTCGATGCGATGGACAGAAAAAGAGAAAAAAATGAACCGTACAAAAAGTTTAACTAAAGAGAACAGACCTTGGTTGAGTTATAAAAGAGATCCAATAGTCCGAATTGTTATCATAGATTGAATCATGGCGCGTACCAAGCAAACGGCCCGTAAGTCAACAGGAGGAAAGGCTCCCCGTAAACAGCTCGCGACGAAGGCGGCCAGGAAGAGTGCTCCATCCACCGGTGGTGTAAAGAAGCCACATCGTTATAGGTATGAAAAAATAAATAAATAATAATAATAATAAAATAATAAAAGACGCGTCTCAAAACGTTGAAATGACGCTCGGATCTCGGTGATTCAAACTCGGGTTTGTCATGACTAATAGCATTTCTGTAATTTCCATGATAGGCCCGGTACCGTGGCTCTTCGAGAAATTCGAAGATATCAAAAATCGACTGAGCTGCTGATCAGGAAGCTGCCGTTCCAGCGGCTGGTTCGTGAAATCGCGCAGGATTTCAAGACCGATCTGCGTTTTCAGAGCGCCGCCATCGGCGCTCTCCAGGAAGCGTCTGAGGCGTATCTCGTTGGTCTCTTCGAGGACACTAATTTGTGCGCGATCCACGCAAAGCGCGTCACGATCATGCCTAAAGACATCCAACTGGCCCGGCGAATCCGTGGCGAGCGTGCTTAAGAGACGCTATGTCACTCGCATACATACCGTTCATTACGACCATTATTATTATTATTATTATTATTATTATTATTATTATTATTATTAATTATTATTAATTATCGTTCGCAATCGTCATGGATGAAGCACTTTCATTCCAAGCTCTATTATATTGTTTTACTTTTGCATAGAGATACGCGCAGTAGTATTATCCCTTCAGTGATCATCCTCAATTTCAAACCTTACCGAAATTTAATTTAACGCTGGCTGGTTAATTTACTGAAAGGGTAATGACCGTGTTTAAGTTAGCAAAGCAGAGCTAGGCAAAGCCTGTTCGCCAAGCGGACGTGATTGGTAGATTCAATGAATCACATTCATCTCGATGAGCAGGCCGAATGTTGTTTTGTTCGGCTTGAACACAGCCAATGATGAATTATTATATATGTTTTGAGTGTTAAAAGCACTCTTGTTCAGTGCTTTTAACATTCAAAATAAATAATTAATCACCACCTTTCGGTATTAAATTTCTGTAAGACACGAATTTCGATTGTCGACTTCGCAATATGCAAATTAGAGAATCACTTTTATTTTCTCCTTTTTGCCTTTTCTTCGGAACACGAAGCACTTGACACAGCTTTTTGGTTTACGCTTACTGGGATATTCACGAATTTATGCAATTTAATTTACGCTCCGACAATTTTGTTAAATAATTTTGGTTAGACACAATTCATTAGCGTTCCTTTTTCTCTCGCTATTTACCGTCTTCTTTTATCATTAATGTTACACATAACATTCATTATATCATTAAATCATTATATCATTATTAGTATTTCAAGAAAAAAAAAGTGTGCATTAGATTAAGACATCCTCATAGCGACATCCCGATATAGTGCTTAACGTATTAGATCTCTGATTGTACTCGAATTACATTAAACCATTTTGATCACTTAAGCATCGTGTAAAAATTTGTGTAAAAATAAACGCATTTCGTAAATAAATCTAAATCCGCACGACTTTTATCTTCACTTTGTCTGATTTCCACCCATCAAGCCGCCTGTGAAACTATACAAACATAAATATGTGCGTCAAATTTTAATTAGCATATTTATTGAATGAAATTCACATTCTCAATAATATAATAATACAATTCGATTATGATTTTCTATTCAGGGTAACAATTTTTTTTGTTGCCGATAATTTTTTTTTTCGTAATGTAGTTTAAAGAACTAAACTTTAGATATAAACACGGCGCAATTGCATTTTGCTAGCCTTTGTTACAATAAATGTGTGTATACATATCTAATTATTCGAATCTAATCGTTCATCGCAAAAAAAGATAATTTTCAAATTATGGAATTTTATTTTTACAGAATATTAAAAAAATAGAAGAATTATATTTAGAAATAATAATGTTTAAAGCATTAAAAAGTACACATTTTTACAAGATATCTGCTAATTTTATAGACAACGGTAAATACAAATTATACTATACCCTACGGCGTTATTAAGTTTATAAATTATTTATTATTTATGTAATTATCTACAAACGTCACAAATATTACGTTTTTAATAAATAATGATTTTTCTATGATTTTTCACTATCACTTAATATTTAAAATTTAAGACAAAATACTTGAGGCAATAATACGGCAAGTCACGAGGACAATTTAAAGGAATTTCATAAATCGTACGAGAGTAAGCTATTATTTTATTACAATATCTACGCTTGTCCTTTAATATCATTCCTGATATAATTGAGATTCCTTTTATCGAGACTACATCGATTTCGATTAATTTGTTACAGGAACACGTTTTTATGAACATATGGATATTTGAGAAATAAATTTTAAGAAATAAAACTAAATTTTTAAATTATTAAATTTATTTTTTTTGAAAATTGCAACACTTAATATAAATATAGTATACAATAATTAGCCTACATGATTAGAACAAAATTGTGAAACAAAATTATTTAAAATCATTATACTATTTGAAAATTAGAAAATTTCAGGGTTGTCTGGACCCAAATATTTTAATTACGTTAAAGAGCACAAGTTGAGATTTTTGCGTGGCTTAATATTACCTTCTATTGCCTCAAGCCCTCGTATGCGTATATTTACAAATTTTCTTCTTTTATACGACTTTTTGTAGTGTCGAAAAGGTAATCACAAAACATCTCAGCGCGATTGAGGAGAGAATAGGAGTACTTGATTCAGATATTGTTATAAATATTGGATATTACAAGTAACGATACTTTGTTATTTTTATTTCGTTATCTTTTGTTATATTTACATGACAATTAATCATCGGTTATGCGCGCGTAGCGATCATATATATTCATTCTATCAATTTAGCGTAATAGGCTTGAACGTTAGCATATATTATACATAGAAAGGTCGATTCTTCAATTTCTGAATAACTTATCGTTGTAATAACTGAAAATACATTGAACTTTTTCAATACTATTTTCAATTGTTACTGCAACAAGTTTATAAATACAATGAATGCAAAATGTATTCATATATTTAAAAAAGAAGATTTAAAAAGCCTTATTTGTAGAAAAAAAACATTAGCATTTTATTTACAATGAGTATATTCTCTCCTAATATAAACGAAAGAGCTTTGCGAAAATCGTGTTCATGATTAAGAAATTTTGATGATTACTAAATTTTTTGACTGTACGAATTGAGCATCCAAATAATACAATTTTTTACTTATCATATAATTTATATAT